CACACACACCACACACATGGTTGTCTACTGTGGTAATGCTTTACACACACACATACCCCACACATGGTTGTCTACTGTGGTAATGCTTTACACACACACATACACACACTGTCCACTGTGGTAATGCTTTACACACACACACCACATAGTTGTCCACTGTGGTAATGCTTTACACACACACACACACACACACACACCACATGGTTGTCCACTGTGGGGGTAATGTTTTACACACACACACACACACACACACCACATGGTTGTCCACTGTGGTAATGCTTTACACACACACACACACCCCACACACATGGTTGTCTACTGTGGTAATGCTTTACACACACACATACCCCACACACATGGTTGTCTACTGTGGTAATGCTTTACACACACACACATACACACGGCTGTCCACTGTGGTAATGCTTTACACACACACACACACCACACATCACCACCCTCACTTCCTGCTTGCACAGTCCTGGGAGATTCAAGATGGATACTATTGACAAGATGAATACTATTGACACTTATTCATTCAAGAATCAGTCTTGGAGCATCGACTTTAGCCCAAGCGAAACCCTCCTTCCTCCTCTAAGGAATGCAGTCCAGCAGAGGATGCATTTTTATTTTCTTTATTTATTTTTAGTAATCTCTACGCCCAACATAGAGCTGAAACTCACGACCACGAGATCAAGAGTCGCATGCTCCACCGGCTGAGCGGGCCAGGAGCCCCTAGAGGATGCATTTTTAGAATGCTGCGCTGAACAACCCACATATCTCCAATGCAGTGTGGTAAGTGCTAAAAGGTGCCTTCAAAGTGAAGGGCTGGAAAGAAAGAACTGGAGAGCAACTGGGAGAACCCAAGAGGTAAGAAGGTGCAGCCACAGGGGAAGGGGGCAGGAAACTGTACTTGACTGAGCACCTACCTTGCATATTTCATCTGGTTTGGATCTGACAAGGAATCCTGCGTAGTAGCTCTCACTCCTTATTTAACAGATGAAAGATCCAAAATTCAACTGGAGGTGGGTGAAGCTGTGATTCTTCCCACAGAAGGGGCAGCCTGAGGAGGGCAGGGAGGGGCAAGGGAAGAACAGGATGACAAGAGGGGCTTTCCAGAAAGTCCTAAGTCCAGTTGTGAGTCTGGGCCAGGAGGAGCCTTTGGGTTCCCACCAAGTCACCAGAGCAGTTTGGTTTTACATATTTTCTGCTGTAAAAAAAAAAAAAAAGGAAGAAAGAAAGTTGAAAATTACTGATCCAACTCCACAACTATTACCTTAACTCAGGGAGCTCCTGAGCAAGTGGAACTTTCACTGGAAGCAAAATCAAGCATGGAGAGGGTAGCCCCAAACACAGGTCATATCACCTTCACCATCAACACCACACCCAGTACTTCAAGGGAGAAGACATGCGTGCACATCCTCAAGCTGTGAGCCACGCTCCTCAGAGAATGGGACTAAAGGACCCCCAAAAGTCTACTTAGATGACATACTTTCCCACTTGTGGCCTCCTGGTCCCTCGGAGGACAGTTGTCCTAGGAAACCGAGACAGGTCCACTTTTTGGTGAAAGCAGGCTCCATCTGGGTCAGAGTTATCAATATTACCTCGGAGAATAGGACTTCAATGTTCACTGCCACACAGAGTGACTTACCTCTTCCCGGCAGCCTTCTGGAATGAGAACAGCAAGTGTTGCCATCAGTTTTGCAGATGTGGAAAATGAGGCCCCCAGAAGTGATGTGCCCTCCTCAGACTGCTAGTCAGTGGCACCAGTGTGTCCAGAACCGGGTCGGCCAGGCCTCTCTGGCTCCCAGCACTCCATCTACTGCACCATACATGTCAGGGCAGGAGCGGTAGGGAGACACACAGGAGCTAATAACTCTGAGGGGCAGCACCCTTTGAAACAGCTGGGAGAGGCAAGTAAAAGTCAGTAGGTCAGTTTCAGCAAGTTTGGTTTCTAGATTATTGGGAGGTATTTAGAAAAACATTGCACAAGAGGTGTTTATAAGCAGTGCCTGAGGAGACGAGGATTTCCAGATGAAGGAGTTAAGCTTGTCCTCTAGGAATTCAGGGGACTACAGCCACATGTAATGAGTGGAGACTAATGTTCCCTAGGCCCACTGGATCATCCATTTAACTCCAAGTTAACCAGTACTACTAACTTATGTGCACAAGGAGACAAGGGGACATGGTCAGCAGGGAAACCTGGAAGAAGGAGTTAACAAGGGAATCTTGGGCACTGAGCAGATGGCCCTGGGGGGCGCAGAAGATAAGCGGGATTTGAAGCACAGTGTCTGTCCCCTGAGGGGGTTCATGGCTGGTGTCTGCCTGTCCCTCACATGACCCCTTCCTTTCGTTCTCTGCGGCTCAAGCACTAGCTGATCACAAAGCCACTCATTTCAGTCACTCAAGACCAGGAACAAGGGGTGCTCTGAAGCTGGCTTGCGATGGGAGAGCCCCTCCTATAAATTGACAATTGGGGTTCTAGATTCTGTTGGTCTCTTGGAAATTTCGTTAACAGGAGCCTCCCACCCAGGATTCGGTCCTCTCTGGGTGTACTGAGGAAATCCAGGCTCTGCACCAGAAAGGCTGGGGACCAGAACTCTGTGGCAAATTTGCCCAAAGGTACCACCACTGAGACCTGGCATGTGCCCTTCAAACACCCACAGTGTAAACAGCGGAGACGCTGTGCCTGCTAGGGCCTGGGAGGTGTGAGGGGCTCGGGCAGTGTTTCCTTGGAACCAGACTCCCCGCCCCACAACCGTCCTACAGCTGCCCCGGGCCTGGGAAGGGATGGAATGTTCTCCGAGTTGGGACACTGGGAAGAGCCAGCAGGAGCGGGGAGCCGCGGGCCGGTAGGCCCCAGAGCCACAGTCGCTGCCCATGCCAGAGAGGCAGGAGCTCAGGTGCACCAATGACTGGGTGGAAACCAAAGGGAAGTCACCACCCGCCCTCACTCTCCACCAGGCTAGGAAATCCTGTCTCAAAATCTGGCCGTTGTCCATGCCCTTCTCCTCCTTCCTCTGTGGCCTGGGGCTACTTTATCAAGTCAAGAGGGTGGAATAAAGGAAGGCCCTGACTATTCTGTCCAGAAATTTGGGATAGCCTAACAGGGCCCAGCAGCAGGGAGGTTTGAAAACCTCCGGGGCGGACTGTGGAGGACTGTGAGGGCAAGCCCACCACTGGGCCCCCGCAGAGCTCCCTGTGATGAGACAGGACTCCGACGCTGGGTATAAAGGGCTGGGAAGAGCTGGTCACATGGTCACGTGCAAGGAAGGGCCAATGACAGTTGTGGGTCTTCTTGATGCCGGCTCAGGAGAAGACTCGTAGGCCATTTGTCATTTGTATTTCAGCATTTTGTTGTTTTCTCCATTGTTCCCATAGGTATTTCTCAGGGCTCTGGCAGTGCCACAGGCCCTGGGCAAGGTCCTTACTGAACCTCTCCTCCCAGCCTCCACTTCCTCAGTCCTAAAGTGGGGGTACGGACCTACCTCCCTTACCTCCCTGCCTCGTTGTCAGGATTAAGTGGGGCGGCGTGTCGAGCTTAGCACACAGCCTGTGCGTGGTTACCACTCCATATGTTGTCACTATAAGCTATTGTGGCTTATCATAAACTATAAACACAACCCTGAGGGAAGTAAAATTCCATGAAAAAAAAGAAGTCTCATTATGACCTGCCTCAAATTGTAAAATCTCTAATAAAACTGAGGGTGCGTGGTTAGTGGTACAAGTGTCTAGAACCGGGTCTGTCCAGCTCCACCACTCCCTCCACGATGCCCAGCTTGAGAACAGGGGCAGGGGGCAGGGGGACAGAGTACTGCCTGGGAGGGGACCCGAGGAGGACTTCTGGGATGTGGCTAAGTTGTTTTTTGATCTGGGTGCTGGTTACACGGGTGTGTTCAGTTTGTAAAAGTGCAGTGAGCTTACACTTCCACACGCTTATCCGTGTGTTGTATTTCAAAAAAAAAATTAAAACAAGGGGCGCTGTCTCAGGATATAGTCATATGAATGCACTGGGACCAAAGGGTGAGAGTAAGATAGTCCCCTAGCTCCAGTGCTTGCCCAGAGAGGAGAGGAACAGATTGTGTACTAGATGCGGCTGCAGTAAATAAGATGCCTAGTTTTCCACTGCCTTTTGCTATCTGTGATATTTCAAAAATATAAGTTGTTTCATTTGGATACTGGTTAGTTGGTTTGTTTTCTTAAATATTTTATTTTTTAAGATTTTATTTATTTGTCAGAGAGAGAGAGAGAGCACAAGCAGGGGGAGTGGCAGGCAGAGGGAGAAGCAGGCTTCCCGCGGAGCAGGGATCCCGATGCGGGACCCGATCCCAGGACCCTGGGATCATGACCTGAGCCACAGGCAGACGCCCAACACACTGAGCCACTCAGACACCCCAAATGTTTTATTTTTGGGTGAAAGTCATCCCTACACCCAACATGGGGCTTGAACTTACAACCTCGAGATCAAGAGTCGCGTGCTCTAGCAACTGAGCCAGCCAGGCGGTCTGGTTAGTTGGTTCTTATAAATGTCTTCAGCTGTGACTTCATCCACCAATACCAATAAATCGTAACTTAGGTGAGAGGCACTGAGGTTAAAACTAACTTACATTTAACATCTTACCAGAGGGAAGTGTGGGACTGAGTCCGTTTTCCAGCTCAGAGTTTTGGGCTCTCCCTGCCTCTTGCAGTTCTGTCTTTCCCCATGAAGAGAACTCAACTGGCAAAAACTGAGTGAGTTCCTGTCACTCGCCAGGCCCTGAGCTGGGTGCTGGAGACAAGAGTTTGGGTGTGAACATAACAAATAGAAGGCGGAGGGGCAGAATCCTGTCCCAAGCTCTGAAGCTGGACAGTGCACAGGTGTAGGAGCAGGGTCAGAGAAGTGCAGGGAAGGCTTCTCGGAGGAGGGGGTACCCAGGCTGAGTTTTCAGAGATGTGCAGGTATGCCCTAGGTGGACCAGGCATTCCAGGAAAGGGGAACAGTGTGAAGACAAGGCGAGGCCCGGTGGAGCACATTCAAGGGGAGCAGCCAAGGGGCAAGGAGGACGGTCAGGGTATCGGGGTGCAGTGAAGAGGTTCCACAGAGGCCCCGTTGGGAAGGCTTCATGCACATTCTAAGGAACTGGCCTTTCTGTAGGGATGGGGAGTTCCAAGGGGGTTTAAACTGAGTAGTGACGACTGCGTTCTGTGTTGGAGAACACTCAACGCTGTCTACGACTTGGAGGATGAAGTGGAGGGAGCTTGGGGGCTACTGCGGTTGCAAGGGTCTGAACGATGCCTGGGGTTGGGGGGGTTGGTGAGGTGAGAGCTGGGAGATGTTAATAGGGAGGCAGGATTTGTAGGGCCAGATTCCTGAATGGCTCTAAGGGAGGCAAGGGAGGAAGGAGTCTTGGATGACTCCCAGATTTGGGGTTGGGTGAGGTCAGGCAAGGCCATGCTGCTCACAGAGGAGCCACAAGGGAGGCCTGCAGGGAGGGGGCTTCTGGACATACTGAGTCTGAGGCTCTACGAACGACCAACTGCAGCACATAAGCTGTGGGACGAAGCCAGTAGAGGAGACTGGAAACCAGGGGAGGAAATGGCTGAGGGGGCAAGGCCCTACCCCTGGAGGGAAGTGGAGGCTCACACAGGTGGAGATGGGGTACCGCTGCCCTGAATGCACATCTCCAGGCTGAGCCTGGAGGAAGGAAGCGAGGGGCGCTACAGAGAAGTTGTTGCTGTGCGGCTGGCACGCTGAGGGAGGTTCCTGACATCTGATAGGGTCGAGGTTCTCGCGGAAGGGGAGCCAAGTCTGGGAGTTGGCTGGGTCTCAGGAAAAGGGCTGAAGGGTACAAGGCAGCCACCGTGGGGCTCAGGAGAGGGAAGTGGGCAAGTCCCGGAGAAGACCCGCCAAGAGGGGCACGGGGGCCTCGCTGACAGTAAAGCAACTGCTCTTTGTTTTCTTTTTACCATTTATTATACATTTTTAAAAAGAGTTATTTACTTTAGAGAGAGAGTGCTCGAGGAAGGGGGTGGCAGAGGGGGAGGGAGAGGGGAAGCAGACTCCCCACTGAGCGCGAAGCAGATCATGCCCTGAGCCAAAACCAAAAGTCGGATACTTAACCGACTGAGCCACCCAGATGCCCCTCATTATAAGTTTTTAACTGTCCCAAGGCTGTTCCCATGAAGTTAGAACAAACTGGGGACAAAACCGCAGTCCCTAAATGCATATACATTTAGGGGAAATGTCCTTTGTTACAGAAACACAGGTGTAACTGAATTGAGAGCAAAGACGTGGTGGAAATAGATCTGCCAAGGGGACTGGGGCTTCCTGATGTCTTTTAGGGAAGAAGTCTGTGCCCTTCCATCCCACACCTAGCCGCACAAAGGCCCGTGTATGCTGAGCCCTCCCTGCCCCCGCAGACCCGCTTTAGGGCAAGCAGGACAGGAAGTGAAGGACTCCTAACCTTTCTCGGACCATGTTCTGTCATTTCCCATCCTGGGTCCAGCCTGATCTTGTTTCCCTTTTTTCCAAGATATTTTGTGTGCCTACCAGGTAGAGAGGAGTTAAAAAATAGAAAGTTAGAAAGTTTTGTAAAGCTTAATGTCAGTTCTTTTCTTAAGTTGAGACTTGGGGGAAGAGAGAACCAGTATCTTCTACAACCCAAATCCCAGAATTTACTGTCAGCTAGGAAACCACCCTATCCATTCTCCCTTGGATGGCTAGTGTAGCTTCCTCCTGTGAAAACTTGATGAAGACAGGTAACGGGATTTCTTGTTCATCACTTTCCCTAGTTCCTAGCACAGTGATGGTACTTAAGTCCTCAATGTTTGCCCAGTAAGTGAAGGAATGGGAATTAATAATGGGGATTTTACAGCCTCCATGATTTGGTTTAACAACCATCACTGCTGAGCTTAGAAATGTCCTCCTTGTGTCTAATATAGTTGATTCTGGATAGAGATGATTCCCAACGGCCTCCTTAGGAGGCCACCTGGCTCCTTAGCCAAAGCTGCCACTCCAAGTCTTGGTTGACAGACTGAATGCACAGTTGGCGAAGGACAGTGGACAGATGTGTGCACTGGTCAAGCACACAGATCTCGGTTCACCCAAAGATGTGTTCTTTAAAGCCACTGGTTTTTACTCCCTGAAGGTCTCGAACTGCTTTCGGCCTAAGGCAGGAGGTGAGTGGGTGGGAAGTGAGGTGTGGGTTTGCTAATAGTCAAGTTCATACTGAAAGGCAGACGCAGGAAAAGAATGGGACTCTATTTTATTAGGAAATATTGAGCATCCATTCTATAAGAACCAAGGCCCATTGTGAGCATAGGCTCCATGCACTGGAGGAGGTGGTTTCAAATTTCCCAGAAACACCTTCTCTGTTCTCCTCTTCCTTATAACAAACCCCTTGACCTGCTATCATCCCGTGGTCTTTATGGTCTCAAGGCTCAAGGACCCAAGAACAAAGCCCTGGTAGCATCCCGGGATCAAGGATGACACCTATAGGACAACTCCTGATTCAAGCCCAAATCTGTCCAGAGGACAGAGGATGTGTCCTCAAAATCAACACTTCCTTAAAAATATGAACGTATACAAAAGCTCCCGGAGAGAACTCTAGCCCTGCACCTATAAAATAAAAACGAGAACAGGGGAATGACAAGTGCATAGAGAGATGATTTAGCGGCTAGTATCTGTGGGGGTGAAGACACAAGCCCATCCTGAAGGGTGCAGGGCTCTTTCACCCTCGAAGAGACAACCCACCATCCACCAGGGGTAGGCGGCTGGGGGTCCCTGATTTCCCACTCAAAAAACAAAACCCCACAAAAACAAGTGCATTCCCCTGACGGCAGACTTACCACAGGACAGTAAGCAAAGACACAAGCAAACGTGTCCATCTCCTCAGTTTCTATCCTCCCTGGCGGGCCCTGCTCAACTCTTATCGGTGGAAAGGCTCTGGGGACAGTGGTTCCAGGCCACACTCCCTCGGGCTCGGAGTCCCTGACACCTTCCACAGATAGAAAAGGGCTTTACCTTCCTGTGGATGACTCAGAGTTGGAAAAGCCCATCCACCTTGACCTGAAATCAAGGCCCAGGACACAAGGCCAGGGAGAGCGGCTTCTGACCTGACACCCTGGCACACAAGCAGCTCCGGGCGAAGGCACCTTAACCTGACCAAGGGGCAGCAGAACCACGAGCCCGCACCTATCGCTTTCCAGTATTTCTGAGGCCTCGGCGCGGGCTGTGGGCCACGCTGTCTTCCGTCCCCCACGAGAAACACTCCCGCTGTGCTACCAAAGAGGAAACTGAGGCCCGGAGGACCAGGAGAGCAGAAGGCCATGGCGTGTCATGCAATGAAACGGAAAGAGACCCAACTCTGCAACCTTCCGTCCCCCCGCGCCCCCCCCGCCCCCATTCCGGGGGACGTGAGTCTGCTCACCGAGACGGCGGCGGATGTTGGAACCAGGGATGAGCGCGGGTGAGGTTCGGGCCCAAGTTCCCAAAGACCCCCCCCCCCCCCGGGAAGAACGGCTCCCCGGAAGGGGCGTCACCGTGTGCCCGTGGGCCGCCGCCGGGCGGCCGGCTCAGTCTGCTTTGTCTTTGGCGTGCGTTCTCTGGTGGGTGATGAAGTTGGAGCTGTTGCTGAAGCCCTTGCCGCACTCGGGGCACTTGTAGGGCCTCTCCCCCGTGTGGATGCGCTGGTGGACGATGAGCACGGAGTTCCAGCTGAAGCCCTTGCCGCACTCAGGGCAGCGGTAGGGCTTGTCCCCCAGGTGCGCGCGCTGGTGCATGACGAGGATGGAGCCGCGGCTGAAGCTCTTGCCGCACAGGAGGCACTGGTAGGGCTTCTCGCCCGTGTGCGTGCGCCGGTGCGCGGCGAGCTGCGAGCGCTGGCCGAAGGCCTTGCCGCACTCAGCGCACTTGTGCGGCTTCTCACCCGTGTGCACTCGCTGGTGCTTGAGGAGGTTGGAGCTCCAGCTGAAGCTCTCGCCGCACGTCAGGCACTCATAGGGCTTCTCGCCCGTGTGCGCGCCCTGGTGCGCGATGAGGCTGGAGCTCTGGCTGAAGCTCCGGCCGCACTCGCCGCACTTGTAGGGCTTCTCCAGCAGGTGCGTGCGGCGGTGCGTGGCCAGGTTGGAGCTGCGGCTGAAGCTCTTGCCGCACTCGGCGCACTGGTAGGGCTTCTCGCCCGTGTGCGTGCGCCGGTGAGTGATGAGTGCCGAGCTCTGGCTGAACCTCTGCCCGCACTCGGCGCACCGGTAGGGCTTCTCGCCCGTGTGGATCCGCTGGTGGCGGATCAGGTTGGAGTTGTAGCTGAAGCTCTCCCCGCACTCCTTGCACTCGTACGGCTTCTCGCCCGTGTGGATGCCCTGGTGCGTGTTAAGGCTGGACCGGTTGCCAAAGCTCTTCCCACACTCGGGGCACGAGTAGGGCTTCTCGCCCGTGTGGGTTCGCTGGTGGGCAATGAGATTGGGGCTCCTGCTGAAGCTCTTGCCGCACTCGGCACACTGGAAGGGCTTTTCTCCTGTGTGGATCCTCTGGTGGGTGATGAGGTTTGCGCTCCGGCTAAAGCTTTTCCCACAGTCTCGGCATTTGTAAGGTTTCTCCCCCGTGTGGGTCGTTTGGTGTCTGCTGAAGTTGGAACCATCGCTAAAGCTTTTCCCGCATTCATTGCATTTGTAGTACTTCTCTCCCGTGTGGGTCCGCTCATGGGTGATCAGGTGGGATTTCCGGCTGAAGGTTTTCCCACACTGGGGACACTCGTAGGGCTTCTCACCCAGGTAGGTGCCCTGAAGGCCGATTAGCTGCCCCACTTCCCTGCCCTGGGAGGACACCTCCCTGTGGTCCCCACGTGAGGCATTCCCCTGGGGCCCCCTGGAGCCACAGTCTCTCTCAGAGTCACTTTCCCAGTCGGACTGCGGAATGCCTTCCCCTTCAGGCATTTCTGAGAACATCTCATGTGACTCGACATCCTCAAATAGATCCTGATTAGAGTTCTCCCCATTGTCGCTCTGGATCTCGAAATCTGAAACAGTGAAGAAAGACATACGATTTATACTCCGTTTCCTATAATGATGAGAGAAGGAAAGGAAACCCAAGTGAAATATTTAAAAAGTTAAACTTCTTATGAAAATAAAGAGGCCAAAGGATCCTCAAAACTTTTAAAAACCAGGTTGATTTCCTTCTCCGTGATTATCTAGCTGTCAGACCTCATACCCACGTGGTGATTACCGAGAATTTCTAAGTCTTAAAGGTTTGGGTTCTAGGTCTGTACCTGTTTCTCCACTGGGAAATGAAGTCAGGTGGGAATCTGGAAATCCTAATCAACAGAAAGCAACAGGGTACACAGTGACCCCCAATACTCACCATGGTGCCTGGTGTGTAACAGGTGCTCAATTAAATTTGGAGAATGAGTGAATGGGTTTTTCATTGGTACCACAGAAATTTCCCTAAAGCTTCGTCTCCCTTCAAAAAGAGTTTATGTAATAATCTCAGGCATTACACTATATCCTGTGTTTATAATCTTATTAGATTATAATAAGTACAGCAAGATGACGGGACTCCTGCAACAAGAACTCTAGGTGTCTGTACAGATGACTGGAAACAAGCGAGTGGTTAGAAGAGCCCTAAAATGTATCTGCAGTAGGAGCTTACAGATGGACCTCCCATTGGTAATACAAAATATCTACCATCCAGAAACTTGTCAAACTCTGCTGCCCAACACTTATCAAACATTCGGGTGAAAGAAATCAGGAGGGGGCACCTGGGTGGCTCAGTCAGTTAAGCATCTGCGTTCAGCTAGGATCATGATCCCAGGGTCCTGGGACTGAGTCCCTCACTGGGCTCCCTGCTCAGCAGGGAGTCTGCTTCTCCCTCTGTCTCACCCTCTGTCCCTCCCCCCGCTTCTGCCTTCTTGCGCGCTCTCTCTCTCTCAAATAAATAAATCGAATCTTTAATAAAAAAAAAGAAAGAAAGAAATCAGGAGGGCAGATTGCTGACAACATATGCATCCCCTTCCTTCACTGAGAGACTCTGAAGTCTATCCCAGGATTGAGCAGGAGAGCCGTGAGCCTGGATCTCACTGTTTTGATCCCCATAGAACTGAGCTGTGTGTTGATTTAATAGCTCTGGCCAACAGTCAAACAGTCTGAGAAGTGTCATCGAAATTAATGGCCGTCAGGAACGTTAACACTGCCAGGAAGTTGTTGGCGACACTGTTTATGCCACACAATGTCCTCTTGATTAACGAGAAGGAAATTTTCCTTTAACCGAAATCCCAAGAGCACCACTGTTCTGAGTAACTGATGTGTGTCTGCCTCATGGCTCTGGTTGTGGCTCCCCTCTCTGCCTTGCCTGCTTGGAAGCTTGGAGCCAAACGCTCAGAGGGAGAATACTGGATGTTTGTATAGCCCGCAACCTGTGTTCATTTTTCCCTCCCATTATTTCCTTTTTTGCTGTAATTTCCTTGTGCTCCCTTCCTTCCTTCCTCTCTGTCTCCTTCCTTCTTTGGTTAATCTTCCCTGTATTGCACCAATTTTAGTATATGTGCTGCCAAAGCGACCACCCTTGTGCTCTGTTTCTGTAAGTTGTCTTCAATTCTTTTTTGGAATTCTGTAGGGTGTACAGAAATAAATCAACGATTTACCGATCAGGATGACAGCCTGATTATTCCTAACACCTAACACCAGACCTCCAGAGAAAGCAGATCCATCCAGAACAGGGAAGACAATTAGTTAAATAATTACACAGGGTCCTAGTGACATTCCCATTACTGAAGCTAAGAAATAGTTTATTTAAAGTTAGATGGTCAATTCAGTGATTATTAGTTTCTGTAGGTGAAGGTGAATTTCCATAGGTGCACAGGATAAAATCTGACATGCCCTCAGGCAGAACCTGGTTCTAGTTATGCTGTCAGTCCATAGAGGATTGTATTTAAATGTACAAGTAGGCTTGTGATTCTACTTCATGCTCACTAGCACATACGCCGCTGGTACTCTGTGGCTCCTGGCGTCCAGGGGACAGATATGGGCCTCAGGGGCACAGCGTATGTACCCACATGGCCAGGAGGACCAGGAGCTCTGCACTTCTGCAACTTCCTGCAACAGGGTTTTGCAAGTTTCTAGCACAGAGGTCTGCTCTCACTGCTCTTCTACAGGGTCCTCCAAGCAGAGGCCCTGATTTATTTCCTGCAAGCGAATGCTACCAAAAACATTTTTTTAAAAATGACTTTAGTAGGGGCACCTGGGTGGCTCTGTCGGTTGAGTGTCTGACTCTTGGTTTTGGCTCAGGTCTGATCTCAGAGTTGTGAGATGGAGCTCCATGTCATCATCAGGCTCTGCGCTCAGTGGGGAGTCTGCTTAAGTTTCTCTCTTTCTCTCCCTCTGCCCACCCCCCCCTGCTTGCTCCTCTCTCTAATAAATAAATTGTTTTTTAAAAATGACTTTAGGGTGCCTGGGTGGCTCAGTTGGTTAAACGACTGCCTTCACCTCAGGTCATGATCCTGGAGTCCCGGGATCGAGTCCCACGTCGGGCTCCCTGCTCAGCAGGGAGTCTGCTTCTCCCTCTGACCCTCTTCCCTCTCGTGCTCTCTATCTCTCATTCTCTCTCAAATAAATAAATAAAATCTTTAAAAAAAATGACTTTAGTAATTGTTCTCTTCTGAACAGGGACATTAGCTGATAAGGTTTTCCACTGCCTTAAAATCAGAAGAACTGGTTGGTATGTTCTGGAATGAGCTCAAAAGCAACAGGGAAAACCCAACAAAAACTCAAACTCCATTTGCAGTGAGATTAGGAGGAAGATTAATTTGCAGACACCAAAATACATATAAGGGCTTCCAAAAACAGCAGAGACAGGGCAGAGGCCAATGAGGCAGGAAGTGAACAAGCATGGAAAGTGGTGTGTGCACGTGTGTGTGTGTGTGTGTGTGTGTGTGTGTGTGTGGCTGGGGAAGGAACTGGGGGGCAGCTAATCTCAAAAGGCTCAGGCAGAGGGGGCGCCTGGGTGGCTCAGTCAGTTGAGCATCCGACTCTTGATCCTAGCTCATCTTGATCTCAGGGTCATACGTTCAAGCCCTGCCCTGGGCTCCACACTGGGCATGGAGCTTACTTAATTAAAAAAAAAAAAAGGATATAGAAAAAGCTCAGGCAGAAAATCACTTCCTAAAGGTAAGGACTCCCCCTCAAGAGCAACAGTGCATTTGGGGTGAGCAGGGCTGGCTTCTTTTGGTTCAGAGAAGTGCAGGAGGTGAAGCTACAACCAGAATCACCCAGATGACCTCTACATGCAGGAAGCTTTCTGTTTCTGTAGAGCAGAAAAGAGAGAGCCTTTGACCCTCACACATTAATCATGGCAATTATGACTGAGAAAGTGACATCTTTCATGCATTAAAAAAAAATAAATAAATGAGGGTCTCCCGTGTGGCTCAGCCAGTTAAGCCCCTGACTTTTGGTTGCAGCTCGGGTCATGATCTCAGGGTTGTGAGATCAAGCCCCGCCTCAGGCTCCCAACTCAGCGTGGAGTCTGCTTGAGGATTCTCTCTCTCCTTCTCCCTCTGCCCCCCTCCTCCCTGTGTGCACTCTCTTTCTCTAAAAAAAAAAAAAAAGGAGAAAAAAAATTAGACAAAGCAACCGCCTGCAGGAAGGAAGAGCACAGGGTAGAAGTTGGGAGAGACAGTGAGACAGCAGGAAGAGATGAAGTGGGAGCTGGCAGGACGTGGGAAGGCAGAGGAAATCCAGAGGCCCGGGCGCAGGAGAGGAGTGCAAAGGAGAACAGGCACTCTGGCGAGCAGAAAGGGAAAAGCGGGGCCGAAGTGAGAAGAGCTGTGAAAGGAAGAGGAATGAGGAGGACAAAGGGACTAACGAGCAGGCCGGAAAGAGAAGTGAGACGAAATGAGAGTCCACACACACGTAACTGGAGCTCTCAAACACGGGAACCAGACCCAAGGAACAGAACAAACGCTGAAGGGAGAAAGCTCCAACGACCCTGGGAAGGTGCGCTGTGTTAGGAAGACTAACCCACAGTGGCTAGCGATGAGACGGGACAGCAAGCAAAAGGCTCGAATCACTCAAGTGGGGGGGAGAACCAGCTGGGCTCAGACTTCTCTACGGTGACATTCATGCCTGTAGACACGAGGCAGACAAGGAAAGAAAGGGGATGCCCAGGAGTTTGTGTTCAACAAAACCGTCCTTCAAGGATCCCGTTGGCGGGCAAACAGCTTTGAATACGCACGAATTCGCAGAATATGGTTCCTATGAGCCCCTCTTGGGGAAACTACTAGGAGGAGGGCTTCGGTCAACCAAGAGATCAAGGGAACTCTGAGCAAATGGGCTGGGCATGAGCACTGGATACACCAGACTTCAGAACCAAGTCTCCAACGACTGTGGCCATTACAATGAGAAGAGAATGTAGAGGCTACCCAGCAACGTAGAAATGACACTCCAGCCAAAACTGGGGTTGAGAGAAAGCAGGATAGAGGACATGTTCATTGGTTGCCTCATATGGATTGCCCCCCTATCCTGGGAGTTCAAAGCGTATCATTTAAAATTGGCAAATCATGCACCCGAAGTGCATGCAAGTGTCTTTACCAGCGCAAAAATCAACCTTCGGGAACTCCAGGCCGGCTCAGGTGGTGGAGCATGCAACTCTTGACCTCGGGGTCATGAGTTTGAGCCCCATGTTGGGTGTAGAGACAACTAAAAAAACAAAACCAACCAAACAAAAGAAACTTAAAATGTTAAGACAGGATTACTGACGGAGACCAGGGGTGGGGAGGAGAGGGACTATCTTTGTCAGATGTTCAAACATGCTGGGAAACAACACAAACACTCTAGAAACAGACTCAGTAGACATGTGAATTCGGAACTGAACACAGGTGGCACATGGATAGACATATGAGCAGAACAGAAACAATCTAACGACACTAGGACTTGAACGTCTGACAAGGGCAGCCTCTCAAATCCAGAGAGAAAAGGCTCAACATTCAATTGACATTCAATAAATGATGCCGGACCGACTGGCAAGGCC